GTTCAGCAAAATGTCTCACTTCCTCCCTTGCAAGAAAACATCGGATGCTATCTATATCGCAAACTTATTCTTTCGCAAAATAGTTCGTTTACATGGTATACCAAAAACCATTGTTTCGGATAGAGATGTTAAGTTTCTGAGCTATTTCTGGAATACCCTATGGAAAAAATTCAACACCGAATTAAAATTCAGCACCACGAGCCACCCCCAAACCGACGGACAAACCGAAGTAACTAACAGAACATTGGGGAACCTAATACGATGTCTAGGGAGCAGCAAACCAAAGCAATGGGATCTTACGCTCGCTCAAGCTGAGTTTGCTTACAACCACATGAAGAACCAGTCCACAGGGAAGTCCCCCTTTGATATAGTTTACACTAAATTACCTAGACTAACAGTCGATCTTGCTAATCTCCCTACTGCTGTTGATTTTAGTGCAGAAGCAGAAAAAATGGCCGAACGAATCGTTGAGCTTCATAAGGAGGTGCTGGACAACCTACAACAAGTTCCAGCACAATATAAAGCAACAGCAGACAGTCATCGCCGCCCCAAAACGTTTGCTGTGGGGGATTTGGTTATGGTCCATTTAAAGAAGACCAGATTTCCAAAAGGGACTTACAACAAGCTGCAAGAAAAAAAAATTGGACCATTCGAAATCCTACAAAAATACGGCGACAACGCATACAAAGTGAACCTACCAGATTAGTTAGAAACTTATATTTAGCAGCTATTGTCTTTATAGCCGTTAAACCAGTCGTCAGCCTTCTTCCTTATATAAGGCTGCCTTCCCTTGTTTTTAAGTCAGATTTGGATCAATAAGAATTTCCTTTTGGTTTCACACCACTTTCTCCTACGGAAAAGGAAATGATGGGAAATAATGCCGTAGTGAGCATAGAACAAGATGATTTCAGGAAGTAGTAGAAGAAGTCTCTGATGATAGTGAGGAGGATACAGATCACCTCCCTTTCTCCAAAGCTTGGTCTGGAACTTGTGGAAATGCAAGATGTGCATCAGACCGATCTCTAATAATGGCAGCGCTTCAGTAAAGAAAAAATCAAGAGAGCTTACAAACTTGCTGAGATCGATGGAGAAAGAAATGGAAGCAGAAGAGGCTCAGGTAGCAACGGGCCAGTTTCTAAATGAAGATAATCTTGTGGAATGTTAGAGGTTTAGGTGCTCCCTCCAAAAGAGCTCTAGTCAAGTCCCTTTTTGGTTAAGGACAATCCGGATGTGGTCATCTTACCAGAAACGAAGTTGATAGAAGTTTAGTGAAAGCTTAATGGAGCTCGAGACATGTAGACTGGTCTCAGCTGGAAGCAGAAGGGTCGCCCGGAGGAGTTCTCATCCTGTGGAATCAAAACTCTGTTCAAGTGGAGGATTCAGTGATAGGTTTGTTCTCGGCTTCCATTTATGTGAATTTTAAAGATAGTTTCTTTGGCTGGATTACGAGTGTTCACGGGCCGTCTAAGTACAAAGGTAGAGATGATTTTTGGCAGGAGATTCTTGATTTGAATGGTCTATGTGCGGGTCACTGGTGCATCGGCAGAGACTTTAATGTTGTTAGAAGGATTGAAAAGAAGTCCACCAGGGGTAGATTCACTAGGAGTATGAAGAATTTTAATCTGCTGATCGAGGACTTGAATTTTATTGATGTTCCCATGAAGAACGACTCTTTCACTTGGTCAGATTTTAGAGAAAGACCGGTAGCTACAAGTATAGATCGGTTCCTTCTCTCCCAAAAATGGGTAGAAGCTTTCAAAGAAGTTGAGTTACTTAGACTCCATCGAACAACCTCGGATCACTCCCCCCTCCTTCTAAAGCTGGGAAATCAGAAGTGGGGGCCCCTCCCCCTTCCGTTTTGAGAATATGTGGCTTGATCATCCCTCTTCAAAGAAAAGGTAGACTCTTGGTGGAATTCTTTTCCTTCGATTGGATGGCCGAGTTATTCTTTCATGGGAAAGCTGAAAACTCTTAAAGGGGTTTTGAAGCAGTGGAACAAGGAGAGTTTTAGGGTGATAGAGGATTCTTTAAGGCTTAAGGAAGGAAGAATAGACGAGCTAGACAACCTTGAAATGGCGGGCTTGATGACACAGTTAGAAAGAAAAGGAAGGGAGGATCTCAAAATCGATAGTGAGCAGAGAAAATGGGCTCAAAAGTGCAACTTGGTGTGGCTGAAAGAGGGCGATGAAAACTCCAATTTCTTCCACAGATGGTCCACGTCGAGAAAATCTAAGGCTACTATTTCTATGTTAGAAACGGGCAATGGGGGTTTTACTAACTTCAGAAGAAGCGGCTGAGAAGGAAATAGTTGGCTTCTATGAATGCTTATATGGTGATTCTTCTGGTCACCGGTTCCTGATTGAAAACGTTCAGTGGAATAGTCTGGAGGAGAGTTGGAAGGGTTGGCTTGAGAGACCATTTGATCTAGAAGAGATTCAGAAAGCATTGTTTAGCATCGGCAACTTGAAGTCCACTGGACCAGATGGTTTTACAAATGAGTTCTTTAAAAAGTGCTAGAACATCCTCAAGTTTGATTGATTAGGGGTGTTCCAAGACTTTTTTTAGAAATGGCATCATAAACCGGTGTACAAATGAGACTTATATCTGTTTGATCCCGAAAATAGCGAAGGCAATGAAAGTAGGGGAGTACAGGCCAATTAGCCTGGCGACTTCTTTGTATAAGATCCTTTCGAAAGTGCTAGCGCAAAGGCTTAAGAAAGTTCTTCCTTTTATTATCCAAGAGGCTCAATCTGCCTTCATTGGAGGGCGTCAAATTTAAGATGCTATTCTTATAGCTTCTGAGATGGTGGGAGATTGGGAGGAAAAGGAAAAATCTGGTTTTGTTCTGAAACTAGATTATGAAAAGGCATAGGATAAAGTGGATTGGCTGTACCTTGATGTGGTTATGGAGCAAAAAGGCTTTGGTCCTTGGTGGAGAAAGTGGATAAGAGGATGCTTATCTCTGTGAATTTTTCCATTCTCATAAATGGTAGACCTTGGGGAAAAATCTTTGTGAGAAGAGGCTCGAGGCAAGGGATCCTCTTTCCCCTTTTCTCTTCACCTTAGTAGGGGACTCCTTTAGTCGTTTAATTCACTACTGTAGTCAAAGAAGATTGATTAAAGGCTTCGAAGCTGGTAGACAAATGATGCAGATCTCTCATTTGCAATACATGGATGATACTATAATTTTCTGCCCAAATGATTCAGGTATGCTTGATAGATGCTGGATGATTATAGACATCTTTCTTAAAGCCTCTAGTCTGTCTTTAAATCTGGGAAATACAAGTCTTATAGGAATACATGTGGAGGAAGATTTGTTGCAGAGTATGGCCAAGAAGCTGGGTTGTAAGGTAGAAAAGCTTCCTTTCTCATATTTGGGGATTCCGTTGGGGGCAAACTATAAGAAGAAATCCTTTTGGGACCCGATTGTAGACAATGTCAGGAAGAAAATTGAAAAGTGGAAGAACCTCTTCCTCTCGAAGGGAGGCCGTATGACCTTGGCGCAATCGGTGATTTCAAGTCTTCTCCTCTTTTTTTCTTGATTCTTAAAGCTCCAAAGGGATTGATAGATGAATTAGAGAAGCGGACAAGAAACTTCTTTTGGAACGGAGGGATGTCGAAAGGAAAGTGCAACCACTTGGTGAATTGGGGCAAAACGGCCCTTCCTTTACATTACGGAGGTCTTGGTATAAGGGACTTACAACAGAAAAACAATAGCCTTCTTCTCAAGTGGCTTGAGAGATTCACTCAGGAACCTAATGCCCTTTCTCAAAGGTGATTGCTAGTATTTATGGAGAAAGTCTAAACGGATGGGGTACTCTCCCACCAAAAGGGCGGGCCAAAGGAAGACCCTAGTTTGATATCTCAAAGAATAGTGCCTTCTTCTACAAGTTTCTTGGTTTCAAGGTGAGAAAAGGGAACCGAATTAAGTTCTGGTCGAACTGGTGGATTGGGGAGAAACCCCTTCAATTCCTTTTCCCTGTTTTGTATAGCATCTCCATGAAGAAAGATGTCACGGTTGCAGCCTGTTGGAACGGTACTGAAAATGACTGGGACTTAGGCTTTCGTAGAGGTCTCCTTGATTGGAAAATGGATAGCTGGTTGGATCTTTTCCAGATTATTGATGCTGTGCAGATTGGAGAATGGGAAGATAGAGTGGGGTGATCACTCGACAAAGGAGGGCAGTTCACTACCCGTTCGACGCGCCTGAAAATGGTGGAGTGCACTCCTTCCCTTGAACTCCCCCCTCATCACGTCGATATGGAAGTTTAAAGTACCTAAGAAGGTTAAAGTATTTTTATGGTCTTTAGCTCATAGAAGATTAAACACGCATGACTTGCCTCAAAAGAAGTGCAGAAATGGTTTGTTTTCCCAATTCCCCCTGCCTTTGTTTGAACAGCGGTGAGGATATAGACCATCTTTTTATCCACTGCCCTTTCGCGTCAAGGAACTAGCATGCCATTTTCAACCTTTTCGGCATCTCCATTTGTCTTCCAAATCAGATTGACGAATGGCTTTCAGAAGTCCTACAAGGCTGGTGGCTCCCTAAAAAGATTAAAGTGGTGTGGAGGTGTACCTCTAGAGCTCTCCTATGGCAGTTATGGCTAGAAAGGAACGCACGGGTCTTCGAGGATAGATCTTTTCCTTTTGACTTTTTTTTGTAGCAATGTACAGTGTCCTACTTCTTGGTGGTGTATTAATCACACGAAATTCTTTTGTAACATAAAAAGATTATTATCTTCCAAAAATAAATAAAAGCCGAAGACAATATGCCTCTATTCTGCTGCATTTGAAATGAGTTTTTTTTTAAATAATGCTAGTTTGTTTTTCTTTTTCTTTTTTTTCCTCTCTCTCTCTCTCTCTCTAAAAGTTTCTATTGGTACTTACAAGTGGCAGAGATTCAAAACAATTGCATCAGAAGAAATGAAGAAAAAATATTAAAGTTGTCTAACTGTTCATGTCAATTATAAATGTTATTTTGTCGTTGAGCGAGTTTTTACCTGAATAGGTACTTTAAACATTTGTCGTGGTATCAGCTCCTTCAGCTTCTGCGTCAAAGCTCTTCCGACAGCATATGCCTGAAAATGGTATTTCTTGTTAATTTCGAAGCAAGTTTGTCTAAGCCAAAATCAACATTGAAGCATGTAGGTCTAATCAGCTGTTAGACAAAAGAAACTCGCATAACATACGGTGTCAAAACCATATAATACAAAATTTGGTCTCTTGAACCATTGCTTTCAAATTTTATTGTCTTTGGACCAGAAAACGCAGAAAGGCTAAATACAAACCAGTAAGAAAAGTTCAGAAACTAACTGACGCAAAAGTTAAAGCCCAAATTATTGAGCTGCTCACCAACTGTTGAATCATATACAAATGAGAGAGAGAGAGAGATCTCTTTAATTAGATGCGCTGATAAGTGATAAGAATTACTTTTGGGCATTTGTTTGGAAAAAGGAGAATTTTTAGAAGGGAAAATGAACGAGGGTATTCCACATTCATTATGGACATCATGGAAATGTTTAGAACTCAAGTTCTAACAAGCGTTTCAACCTTCTATGTGTTGGTACCTGATCAGTAGGGCATTTCTTGGTCATACATTAGAGCTGAAATTCTTTTTCACATGGATGGGGACAGTATAGCAACTCTCATGAAAATACCCCTTTGATCTTGCAGAAAAATATGCATCTTCCCTGCTTCCCTCCTGTCAACTTAGTCATGACCAACATGGGGAAACCACCTAAAACGAACAAACTTGACCCTTACTATATAATGTTTTTAGCATCTAGTAAATTCAAATTAATTCTCACCAAATCACTTAATGGTGTAGAACAAAACGAAGAAAAGAGTGAAGTACGGAAGAGAAAGAGGGAACAGAAGGACAAAATCGGGGATAATGAAAAAAAGGAAAAATGATATTAAGGGGAGTTCTCAATATCTCAAAATTTAATATTCCATTGAGCTATCTAGTACTCCAAGACTTTGGTAAGTGTCCAACAAACTCTTATTTGAGTCTTAATCCGCTTCTCAATTAAATTTGAGATTAAGGTCATAATCAATATGTGTTAAATTATATTTTAAAAATTTCCTATTGTATTTAGGTTAGGATTTTCTTGTTCTAATAGGTAAGTATTTTCCTTATCCTAATAGGCAAGAATTTCGTTTTAATTTCTTCTTTGTGACTGCCATTTATAGCCTTGTATCAATTCTTTGAAAGTAATAAAAGAGAATCATTTTTTCTTATCAATTAACAATATGTTCCGTCATTAAAAAGTTTTTAAATGCAAGAAGGGACTTTTATCCACCAACTAATAGTCAGCAGAAAAATAAACAACTAATTATGCATCACGTTTAACTTTACACAAGTTCCCATCCTCCAAAGAAAAACACTAAGAGAGAAACAAGGTAAAAGGTACTCCTATCCTGGGCAATAACCTAACCAATACAAATGGTTGAATTGACACCAGATTATATGGTTTAATTTTGGTTCTTTGTTGAGTAATAGAAATTCTCAAATGATAGCATAGAAGAATGTAAAACAAAAAATTACGATAGCATATATTTGTGATATAAAATGTTACCTTATTGCTGTGCACTATTGTTGCCAATGGTTCCACTCGATCACCATTTATCTGAATGTCAAGTTTTATCAAATCACTTTCTCTGTACCTGAAAGTCATTCCCCCCAAGAGAGGGAAAAGAAAAAAGAAAAAAAAAAGAAGTTAGCTATGCATTTTTTGATAGAAGAAGTTAGATGCATATCTTAATAACCTCCAAGAACCTACTCATAACTTGACACATTTTCTTTATGCAACATTATATGTATCCTATTTATGGTTAGAAGTTCATATTTTTTTGCCTAGAAGTAGCTAGCATGATTTCTTCAGGACATATTTCTCATAGACAATCATGACCCCAGTTGCGGTGGTTAGTCATTATGGGTTATGTTATATCAGTTAAATAGCTGAAGGTCGTTAGTCATTATGGATTATGTTATATTTAATCTTTTATGTATATTATTAACATTTCCCCACTTGCGAGCTTATAAATTAGCATAAGGCTCAACAAAGACTATAATGTTAATTGAGAGGAAATGACATTACAAGATTTCAAACACACAAACTCCTGCTGTGATACAATGTTAAACTACCATTAAACCCAAAAGTTTAAGTTTATAGATTATGGTATATTAAAACTTCATTGATTTATTTGCTTGTCCATTCCTATTTTTCATCTTTTTCTCCAAGTGATGGGATTTTTCTTTCTGTACACTCTCCTTCTGTATTTATCATTAGGGATGTGTGCAACTCTAAATATATGAAAACGATAAAATTTTCCCTTTTCACATTGTACGACCATGGGTACTTGTGTGGGATGGTGCAGATTGTATTGCACAGAAACATAAAGCTTTCGTTTGTATGCAATAGCTGTGAAGTTACAGGACCTCACTTTAAAGAACATGACTGGCTAATAGGTGCAAATCTAGATGAAACACTGAGGGTGACGAACTCCCCTTTTCATAGTATCATGTCTTCTAGAAGTAAAAATTATATTCAGACCTGGACCCTTCTTGTGTGGAATGAATGCCGGAATTTATACTCAAAACACTGCTTTTAAAGTAGTTCCTTTCAAACTTATTTCAAAGTCCTATCCTCTTCGTCTTTCTTTTTTTTTTAATATCTACGAGTGTTTGAGCTCGCTTCCATGCATCTTAATTATGGGTAATTCCTTTACATCAATCTCTAGCCCATTTGAGTTTTTAATTTTTATTTCTTACAACAGATGGAAGCCTTGCTGTTGCTGTAAAGTGGCCCTCTTTTATTATTTCCCATCAATCTCTCTGTTACAATTATTTCATTCCTTGTTCATATATCTTTTACCATTTTCAATAAGTATGAATTTTTATATTATTAACAAATGTACAAAATAATAAGAACAAGATTTCTTCCTCATAACTGACAATGCTGATATATCTACCGAGGAAGCTTGTATGTGAAACAAATAATTAGTCTTATTTTGTAATAGAAAATCTCCTCTCCAAAAAGCATAAACGCACCGTGGGTGATACTGATTGCATCATTCTCCAGAAACAAATCCACTCAGTTTTAGAAATATGTACATGAAACATTTAATGCTTTTACCCAATCAAAGAGTATTCCATGCTTGCATAACCTTTGCTTCGGGATTTCAGTTGGTCAAAGAAATCACCTACCATCTGAGAAGAGAGGGGAGTAAATATATATCAATAGCAACCATAAAAATAAAACAAAGAATCGAAAGTCAATATATGTTAAGATTTGAGAATAGGAAGTTTATAAATGTCAACATTTTGAGTTTTTTCTTCGAATTAAAGTTGGAATTAATTTTCTTTTTTCTTTTTTTGCCTTTTCAGTTTCTTTGTAACTTTTTTTTGAACAGGAAACGAACTTTTCATTGATAAATGAAAAGGAACATAAAATGTTCAAGGATACAAACTCCAAAGGAGTGAGAAAGATAAAACATAAAGTTGAAAGAAAATAAATAAAATTACAAAGGAGAGCTAAAAGCATCCCAATTAGAATCAATCATGCTAGGTGAGTAATTGACAAAAAGATTGTAAAGAGCACACCATTGAGAAGCTTTGAATTTGGCAATGTGAAAACATTCCAACGGATGCCTTTTTAACCCTTCGAAGGTCCTTTGATTGCTCTCGAACCCTAATTCATAAATAAGGGCTTTAAGACCGTTGACCCAAAGTAATGTAGCTTTAGGATTCATGTGTAGACCAAACAGCAACTGAAAAACCAAGTTCGAGACTGACTTGTCCATAACCCAAGGTAGATTGAAGATACCAAAAAAGGCAGACCAACAGGTTGCTGCAAATGGGCAGAAAAAGAAAGTGTGCAGCTGATTTTCGCTTGAGTTTACACAAAAAACACAAGCAGATGGCTGGAGAAACATATATGGTATCTTTTTCTGCATAATTTCAGCTGTATTGACCTTGCCAAACATAAGAATCCATGTAAGGACATTAACCTTCTTGGGGCTACCAGAATTCCAAAGCTTTGAGCAAAAATCTCGTGGTAATGCAGCAAAGGGAGCCTTAGAGTTACATAAGGAGCTGACAGAAAAAGTCCCATTTTTATTCAGATTCCAAGAGAGTTTGTCTTCATCATCATTTAACAAAACCAAATTCAGATTGTCCAATAATTCAATATATTCAGCAAATTCTCCATCTTTTAGCGACCTTCTAACTTCAATCCTCCAAGAGGAGGTGGTTGAATCCCAAGCTTCATGAACCGAAAGGTAGGGGTTCGAGGAAACCCGAAACATAAGTGGAAACTTGTCCTTTAAAAAAGACTCGCCCAACCACAAGTGATGCCAAAACAAAGTACGCTTGCCATTTTTTACTAATAATGAAGAGAATTTCTGTACCTTTTTCCACTGTTTTTGAATGTTGTTCCAAGGGCTACGACACCCCAAATTCTTCTTTTCCAGAGTGTTCCAATCAAAACAATCTGTTTCATAAATGCTGGCCACAACCCGGCGCCATAGCGCAGAAGTTTCCAAACTAAACCTCCAACCCCATTTCGCAAGAAGAGCATGGTTCTTATTCAATAACATACCAATGCCCAAGCCACCATTTGCACTAGGGCGAGAAGCTAAATCCCATCGAGCCAAATGCTTTAAAGACCCATTTGAACCATCTCCCCAAAAAAATTTTCTGATATACTTTTCAAATTGCTTGCTGATATGTCCAGGCATTTGAAAAAGCGATAAGTAATACAAAGGAATGCTACCCAACACCGCTTGGCACAAAGTCAGTCTACCTCCTCTAGATAATTGATATCGCTTCCATCTATCGAGTTTCTTTAGGATCTTGTCCTTAATAGGGAACCAAAAGGCTTCAAGCTTTGGATTTCCACCTAAAGGAARCCCCAAGTACATAATGGGCAGATGTTCAATTTTACAATTCCACTTTGCAGCAAACAACGCTACTTTTTGGGTATCAATATTAATTCCACATAATGATGATTTATCCCAATTTA